CACGGGGCAGGCGGACCTCGGCCAGGTCGCGGCTTCCGCTCTGGCTCGAAGCGCAGCCAGTGTTCGTCTTCCTTCTCGGGGAATAACTTCCAAGAAGAACAGAAAATGCCAGAGGCACCAGGACAGCCCCTCAGTCCTTGTGAAGCGCAAGCGTTTGGTGTGAATGTCGGGGCGCTAAGCGGCGGGTTCCAGAGGCCCCCGCGCGGGAGGAAGGCGAGGCCTCGCGAGGAACTCAGGTGTCCACAGAGAGGCGCGCTCGGAGCCCCAACACCGCCCTGGCCACAGGCGGCTTCTGGAGAAACAGGTTGGGAAACGGAGGACCCGCCCCCCTGCAGCCCAGGAGGGTCCCCCGGGCCCAGGGCCTGTTCCGGGTGGGCCCCTTCCAGAGGGAAACCAAACCGCAGGCTCAGGAGCTCCGCGCCATCGGCGGGGACACGGCCGCCGCCCGCCCTGCCCTACTTGTGAGCGGCGGCGAGAGCCGGGCGCCGGGGGGGCAGGACGGCTGACTCAGCTCCAGACAGAACAGAAATCCGCACGACGGGGCCAGAGGTCCGGTCCCTGAGCGCCCGCTTAGAGCCAACGAGTGTGAGGTGAGGGCAGACGGTGACGAGTGTGAGCCCGCCGTGTGCGTAGGCATGTGTGCACGTGCATGTGTGCCTGCTGTATGTATAGGCATATGTGTGCATGTGTGTGTGCCCGCTGTATGTGTGGACGTATGTGCACATACACGTGTGTCCACTGTGTGTAGGCATGTGTGCACATGCATGTGTGTCCGTTGTGTGTAGGCATGTGTGCATGTGTGCCCGCTGTATGCGTAGGCATGTGTGCACATGCATGTGTGTCTGCTGTGTGTGCCCGCTGTATGTGTGGACACATGTGCACATACATGTGTGTCCATTGTGTGTGTAGGCACCGTGCACGTGCATGTGTGTCCATTGTGTGTGTGGGCATGTGTGCATGTGTGCCCGCTGTATGTGTGGGCATGTGTGCACTGCATGTGTCCGCTGTGTGTGCATGTGCATGTGTGCCTGCTGTATGTATAGGCATATGTGTGCATGTATGTGTGCCCGCTGTATGTGTAGGCGCATGTGCATGTGCATGTGTCCCTGCTATACGTGTAGGCGTGTGTTCAGGTGCATGTGTGCCCGCTGTATGGGTAGGTGCATGTGTGTCTGCTATATGTGTAGGCATATATGCACATGCATGTGTGCCTGCTATATGTGTAGGTATGTGTGCACTTGCATGTGTGTCCGCTGTGTGTGTAGGCGCATGTGCACATGCATGTATCCCTGCTATATGTGTAGGCGTGTGTGCAGGTGCATGTGTGCACACTGCGTGTGTAGGTGTGTTTCTGCACTTGTGCACTACAAGCCCTAACAATATTTCCTCCTTTTCATAACCATCACAGGCCTGTCCACGCTGCAGCCACAGGGCCCAGAACTCTGGCCTTGGCGTTATTCTGTCTTTTCTTCCTCTGGGGCATCCAGACCATCAGCAAATCTCCCAAAATCTGTCTGAACACGAGCCTGTCTTCTGCCACGATCTCTGCTTCTCTCCTGATCTCTCCATTTTCTCCGGATTCTCTCCATTTTCTGAGTTTTCTCTGCTTTCTCCTGACCTTTGACCCTTGGGCATTAACCTTGAAGCCTGGCTCTTGACCCCTAAACTGTAACACTTGATCCCTAACTCTTGACCCTTTGACCCTGGCTCCTTTCACTTTTGACCCCAGATCCTTGACTCTGAGCCTTAACCCATAGCCCTATGACCCTTGACCCATGACCCGTGATCCCAATCCGTCATGACCTCTGATCTCTGACCCTCAACCAATGAGCTTTGACTGTTGACTCTTGGACTCTGATATTATTTTACCTTTAATCCTTTAACCCATGACCCCCATCTTCGACCCTTGACCCTAACCCCTAACAGAATGACCTTTTATCTTTGACCCTACAACCTTGAGCATTTACCCCGTTTGTCCCCTGATTCTTTGACCCCCTGACCCTTTGACCACTGACTCCTGACCATGGCCATGTCCAGTGTCTCCTGGTTCTCTCAGGTCGGGGTCAGAACTCCTGGGGAGCCAAGGCCATCTGCCCCCTCTACCCCCACCCCCCGGCCCCCAGGCTGCAGGTCAGGGCGAGTTTCTCGGATGTGTCCCCTGTCCTCCTGGGTCGGCGCCGTGGAACCGGCTTCCTCCCGGCAGCGGCCCCAGCGGCAGAGCGAGGGCAGCTCTGAACAGGGGCTTCGGGCCCACCCAGCAGGCTCCTTGCCACAACCACCCTCCTCCCGGGAGCCAACCCGTGGTCAGCGTGGCCGCGTGGCCGGAGTGAGGCTCCTGCCCGTGTTCCTGGAAGCCTATTGTCAGCTACCGTCAGCCTATTGTCAGCCTCCCGGAGCCCAGCCGACCCCAGGACGCTCTCCGTCCATCAGCTCGGTGGCCGGCCCGTGGGAAGCGTGGCCACTCGGTCAGCGTCCCTCCCGGGAGACGTGGGAAGCAGAGAAAGGAGGCGCTCCCTGCCCCCACCCCCTCCGCACATCTGCTCTCCCCAAGGCTACTGCTTCCCAATGGGCGTGGGGGTGGGGACCCCAGGAGAAAGCCATTTGCACGGGAAACGGGAACGGGGACGGCTGTCAGGCGCAGAACATCTGTCCGTCGGAGCAAGACGCGGCCCTGGCTCCTTGCAGACACCGGATCCCACGGCCCTGCCCCCTCCAAGGACAGAGAGGGGCCGACGGAGCCCCAGATGCGGGGACTGTGGCCACGAGGGCCACACGCTGACACGGAGGCCGCTGGCGCCACGACAGAGGCTGACACGGCAGGATGGAGGGTGGACCCCAGGCCCGGCGACAGGCTTCCACGTCAGCGAAGTGAAGCTGCCGCCCGCACGTTGGAAGCTGGTTTTGTAAACCTCTGGGGCGGCTGCCAGAGGGAAGGACAAGGGCATCTGGGTCCCTGGGTCCAGGCCACAGAGACAGTGGAGTTGGCATCACCGGGAAGGTGAGGCGATGGCATCACAGCTGTCCCTGTCCCCGTCCCCTCCTGCCCCATCCTAACCCTGTCCCTGTCCCCATCCCCTCCTGCCCCATCCTAACCCTGTCCCTGTCCCTGTCCCCTCCTGCCCCATCCTAACCCTGTCCCTGTCCCTGTCCCCGTCCCCTCCTGCCCCATCCTAACCCTGTCCCTGTCCCTGTCCCCTCCTGCCCCATCCTAACCCTGTCCCTGTCCCTGTCCCCGTCCCCTCCTGCCCCATCCTAACCCTGTCCCTGTCCCCGTCCCCTCCTGCCCCATCCTAACCCTGTCCCTGTCCCTGTCCCCTCCTGCCACAAGGCGAGGCAGCTTCTGGAGAAACAGGTTGGGAAACGGAGGACCCGCCCACCTACAGCCCAGGAGGGTCCCCCCGGGGCCCAGAGCCTGTTCAGGGTGGGCCCCTTCCAGAGGGAAACCAAACAGCAGGCTCCGAAGGGGACAGTGTGGGCAGGACCAGAGCGGCTGACAGGGGGACCCGGCAAGCCCGGCCGAGCCCAGCAGCCAGGCCAACCTCAGCCACAAACCGCCTGGCAGCGTGGGCCTGACGTGACGGGAGGGCTCCCCTGACCTGCCTCCCCACACGCCCCGCAGTCGCACCAGGAGAAACACAGACAAATCCCACTGGAGGGACATGCAACCTGTGTGTGTGTGCATGCGTGCGTTTGTGTGTGTGTGAATAGGGGTATGTGTGTGTAGGCGTGTGTGTGTCTGTGTGGTGTGTGTGGCGTGTGTGTGCGCATGCTTGTGGGGGTGAGGGTGTGTGTGTGTATGTGTGTGCGTATGGGTATGAGTGTGTGCGCATGGGGGGGACGGTGTGTGTGTATGTGTGTGTGTATGGGTGTGAGTGTGTGTGTGGGGTGTGTGTCGGGGGGGAGGGTGTGTATGGGTGTGTGTGTGAAAGCGCCTGCTCCGGCCCTGAGACACCGAAGGGTGCAGGCAAAGACCCCGCTCTGGGCCTCAGGACCCGCAGCCTCGGCAGCTCTCAGCGGTGCCCACAGAGCACCGTCCCCACTAGAGGGCGCAGTCCAGTGCCACCCCCTCCTCATCGCCCTGTGTGCCAGGACCCCGACCGCACATGCTGACCATCTCCCCCGTCTCCTCCGTCACCTCTGCCCTCGGTTGGACATGGCTGCCCCCCCCCCCCCGGCCACCAGGGTCCCCGAGGCACAGGCTTTCCCTCCGACACACCCAGGAGGCCGCCGCTTGCGCCACCACAAACCCTGTCCAGGAGGCTCGTCGGCCGGACTCGCCGAGCAGATGGTCTGTCCCGGCCCCCACTGTGCACGGACAGAGGGCTCTGCACACGAGCTGGAGGGCGAGCTTTGCGTGGCCGTGGCCGTGGCCGTGGCCAGACCGCAGGGCCAACGCCAGCGTCGCTGAGGCTGCACCTCTGCAGTGAGGCTGACGTGCAACCAGCGGCCTGAGCACAGCACTCGCCCTGCACTGCGTGGCGGGCCTCATCCAACGGGGAGGGGGGGCCATGAAGGGGGGGAGCCTTAAAGAAAGACCAAGGTTGGGGGGAGGGGTTCCGCCAGCAGGAGGCGCTGCAACGCCGCTTTCCCTGGGCCTGAGCCTGCCGCCCGCCCTGCAAGGTTCAGACTCGCCGGGCTCCCCATTCCCATTAGCCAGTTCCTTAACATCAATCAACCCGTGTCTCCCCCCACACCCACCCACCCTCTCTCTCTCTCTCTCTCTCTCTCTCTCTCTCTCTCTCTCTTTCTCTCTCTCACACAGACACACACACACACACACACACACACCCTGCTGGCTTTGTCTCCCGGCACACGCCTGCTAACACGTGCTCTCACAGGCGTCGCGTTGCTGCCGGAAGCTTTAGGTCACCCACATGGCGTGATCACAAACACAGCATCACGGGTCCAACTGTCAACGCCCTGTTGGTGCCACCCCAGTGCAGCTCCCCCAGCCTGGGGCGGGCTCCCGGGCGGGGCAGGGGGAGGGGCTTGCACGGTACCTGCCCAGGTCCTTGGCTGCCGCCTGGCAGGCCCCTGCAGAGGCTTCTACTCCATCACCAGCCGCGGCGGGAGGCGGAGACGCAGGTCCTGAGGGCGCTGAGGCCGGGGGCGGGCGAGCAGCACGGGCAGCGGCCGGGGAGGTGCTGGGGACACAAAGGGAGGATTATTCCCAGAGAGCCGGGCCCACTCATGGCGCAGTCATCGCCCGCCCCCCCAGGGAACCGGCTGTTCCCAGACCAGCACCCTCTCCCCGTCCCCACCCGGTCCCCAGGGAGGCTGTGGGCTAGTCCCTCCTCCTCCGGCCCCTGCAGGACCCGGGCTGCTGGGTGGAGGCAGCTGGGTGTTCAGGACACAGTCGTCTCGTGTTACTGGGCGAGGGGGCTCCTAATGGCTCCTCCACACGCAACGAAGGAGCCTCTGGGAACTAAATGGGGACGTAAACGCCCCGAGATTTGCCCCCGGAACCCAAGGGTAAGAAAAGTGAAGGCCAAAGGCGACGGGTGAGGAGGAAACTTCCCTGGTGGTCGGCTGCCTCCCGCCCGCTCCCCCCCGGGGATGGAGCCACAGCCCGGGCACCGGGAATCGAACCCTGACCTCCAGGTTCATAGGTCGACCCTCCACCGCTGAGCCACACTGGCTGGGCAGTAACGCCTCTTCAAGATGTTACTTTCAAGGAGGGAGTCGAGCCCTTTCCAATCCCCAGTGGCACGCCCAGCCCCCCGGGCACAGAGGCAGGAGCCGAACTGGGGGGCCGGCACCTCTGACCCCCTGGCCGCCTCCTCTGGGCATGGGTAAGGGCGGATGACCTTCAGCTGTGAATGTGGGATCCCGTTCCCATTCACGGAGCTGACCCACGCTCTCCGCGTCCCGTGGGAATAACTAAAGGCCGGACTCGCGCCCACGCAGAGCACCTGTACTTTTGACGGTGAAGGCGCTGATTGCACTGAGCCCGTCACGTATTTTCTCAGAGAAGGTTCACAAAGAAGGCGCATCAGCCTCGAGCTGCCGCTCAGCCAGGGCCGTGGGCGCACACGCTCCTGGCGGCCCAGCTGGGAGGCCCCGGGGCCGCGGCTAATGGCCGGGCTTCCCCTCCCTCCCAAAGAGCAGCTGGTCCGCCAGCTGCTCGGTGCGCCCCCCACGGGCCCGGGGCCTCGGGACTGTCCCCTCGGGGCTGTGTCCGCTGGCGTGGGCAGCTGTCAGCACGGCCGTCTCCCGGTCCCGCTCCGAGCCCTTCCTGGCAGGTCCCCCCAGAACGGACGGCGCCGGTCACCTCAGAGATGGGCCAGAGCGGCCCCAGGACGCCCTTGTCCGAGGACAGGCCGCGAGGTGGCCCCCGGCCGCCCCCGAGGGTGGTGCCGGCGCCGGCGCCGAGGGACCAGGCAGATCGCGTCCCGTCCTGTCGGCAGATGGGCGGCGGCCTTATCTCCGTCTCCGGCGCCATCTGGCAGGCATTAGCCAGCCTCCCGCACGGCCTCTCCTCTTTCCTCTTGCATTTCCCGAGTGGAGTGCGAGGATCACATAATAGGGCGAGCGCTGCGGCCGGAGGGAGGGCGATGCCGGCGAGGGCGGGGAGGGCGGGGAGGGTGGGGAGGGCCGGGAGGCTGCTGTTGGCAGAGCTCAGCGTGGGGGTCCGGTCGGAGCCTGGACAGCCCGCCCCACCGAGGCCTGGGGTTCGCCAGAGCGGGTCGGGGACGGCAGACAGCCCGCTCCTCGGAGACGGGAGACGCAGCCGCGGGGCCAGAGGTGCCCGAGAGGCCTGAGACCGGCTGGAAAGGCCGAGGCCGCTGAGCTGTTCCGTGTCGCCTGTGACTAAACAAGCACGTGAGCCCCGTGAGGACAGAGAGCGGCCACAGGGGACGCAGAGGCGGGGAGGGGACCAAGGACACGGCCCCAGGCGGACAGGACTCCCGGCGGGTGTCCCCCGAACTGTGTGCACACCGTCACCTCACGGCTGGTGGCTCAGCCTCCACTCCTCAGGTGTAACGAACGTGACGTGACGGACAAAGCCAGACCAAGCTTCGCACGAAGAAAACGTACCCGAAGGCGCCACCAGACTCCTTCTATGGGGACACGCGAGGTTTCCGGCACAAAACCTGGCAACAGCCGACGAACTGAGGGCACCAATGCTGAACCAAATGATTCTTTTTTAAAAACATGTTTTTATTGATTTCAGATAGGAAGGGAGAGGGAGAGAGAGAAACATCAACAATGAGAGAGAATCATGGATCTGCTGCCTCCTGTACTCCCCCCCACCCCCCCACTGGGGATTGAGCTCGGATGGGCCCTGACCGGGAATCGAACCCTGACCTCCTGGTCCATAGGTCGACGCTCAACCACTGAGCCCCGCCGGCCCGGCAGCATCACTGCTGAGCACCGAGACGCCGCAACAGCCCATCTGATCGCCAAGACGGCCAGTTACTAAATGACCAGCCGGCAGCAAGTGTAAGCAGCGAGGGGGGAGGGGGGGTCCACCGGACAGAGGGAGGACTCCCATCCCGGGCAATTTCAAACGTATGAATGGGCTATTTCTGGAATTTTCCATTTACTATTTCCGGGCCCCCATTGACGGCAGGCAACCGAAACCGTGGAAAGCAAAACCGAGGATAAGGGCAGCTGCTGCGTATACTGTCGTCTCGTTAACGTCGGATTCACGACCAACTTCCCTGAGCCAACTCACACCCAGCCAAGCTCGGCTAACACAGAACGTCCCCCTCGCGGCAATCACGGCCTAGAAACCGCGCCCGCGCTCCAGCACCGCGCAGGCCGCTCTGGAGAGCCAAAAGCCCCGGCCGGTGGCTCAGTGGATGCAGCGTCACCTGCAGACTGAAGGGTCCCGGGTTCGACTCGGTCAGGGCACAGGCCCGGGTTGTGGGCTCGATCCCCAGGAGGGGGCGTGCGGGAGGCAGCCCGTCAATGATTCTCTCTCATCATTGATGTTTCTCTCTCTCTCAAATCAATAAAAATATATTTTAAAAAAATAAAGAGCAAAACCATCAACAAAACACACAGAATTACCGAAACGACGTGGCCTCAGTCTGCCGGGAGGAACTCGTTCGCAGCGTGAACGCAGCAACACCCAGTCAGAGGCCGGGCTCCCCGGGGCTGGGGCCAGGCCCCTGTTCTGCACACGTGACCACAAAGAGCCCCAGGACTGACCTTGACTTGCAAAGACACCAGCGAGCAGGCGAGGGCACAGGCATGGACCCTGTCCCGGCGAGGGCTGGCTGTATCTCAAGGAGACAGTAGCTGACAAGCCAGGCGGCCCTTGCTGCTACCAGCACTGCCGCGTTCCCCCAGGCGTCCCGGCGGCAGGCGCTGAGGCCGTAAAACCCCGTCTCCTGGACACGGCCCTTCCACTTCCGAGAATTTGTGCGAAGGAGACGATTAAGTGCGTGAGCCAAGGGGCTGGTCACGGCCGTGGTCATCGTAGCAAAACAAAAGCGAACACCGGACGCCCCACGCCCAGCAGGGGGGGTGCGAGTCGCCAGGAGGCCGCAGCCGGGGACGCAGGGCAGCGTTCAAAACACAAGCCAGAGCCCCACGTGCCTGCCGGCGAGTGTGTCCTTCAAGAACTAAGCGTGGGTTTAAAAACTTCCGCGGCGCGACCAGATTCTATGTGCATGTGCATCGCTATGTAAGTATGTATGTGTGCGTATGTACACGCATGCATGCACATGTATGTATAAACACACAGAGAAAGAGAGCACAGAGGGAAGAGCCCCAGCCACGTGGAAGGGCTTGCGCCAAGCTGCCCATAGAGTGAAACCGTGTTTTTTCTTCTTCGTTGAATTTATCTCTATCTCTAGTTCTGTGCTGAGCACGTGCTGGTTTTAGGACAAAATAAAGAAGAAGACATTTTGGAGGCGAATCGGACGTGCATAGGAACACCTTCACCCACCACTCGGTGAGTTTTAGGAGCCGGGACCGTCGCCCGGCCGGCGGGGCTCAGGGACTGAGTGTCAACCTCGAACCAGGAGGTCAGGGTTCGATTCCTGGTCAGGGCACGTGCCCAGGGTTCGGGCTCCAAACCCAGCAGAGGGCGTGCAGGAGGCAGCCGATCCACGATTCTCTCTCATCACTGATGTTTCTATCTCAACCTCTCCCTTCCCCTCTGAAATCAACAAAAAAATATTTTTTAAACAAGATAAACTCGTGTGTGAGTGTGTACAGGCTCCCTGGGTGGAGCCGCTATGAAAACACCGTGACAGGCACACTGCACCGTCCGCCTGGGCCTCTGCCTTACTTCCCGGGACCAGCTTCCGCCTGGGGCTGCGACGGGGCGAGCTGGCGTCTGGTATGGGCAGGGCCTCACGGACAGCTCCCGGCCGACTGGCACCGGCTATCCATGGCTCCAAGTCCTACCAGTGGTGCTGGGACCAGAGTGGCTGAAATATTTCTCAGGGGAGAAAAAATCTGTCTGAGACTTGACCCCCGGCTGCTCCGCAGCTGCTGGGCCCGCAGAGGGTGGAATTTCTGCTGGAAGGGCAAGGTGGGAGCTTGTGTCAACAAGTGCTTCCCCACAGGCCGTGAGTCACTGCCTTAGCCTTAGCCACGGGGCAGAGAGGGGTCTGCCTCCGAGAGGAAGTCATTCACACTCTAGTCTGAAACGCGACACTTCAGTTCTCCACATGGGGCCTGGCCACAGGGAGAACTCCTGGCCGGCGCCAGGATAAATCAGGGGATAGAAAGTATTAATGATGATAATAATGATGCTGATAATGATGAATGGGCAGGAGGAGCGTGGGGAGCTGATGGGGAGTTATGGCCTGGGTGGTGGTAATGGTTTCACAGGTACATTCTTATCCTCAAAGTCATCGAGTTGTAAGATTCAATGTGCACGGCTTTCCACAGGCCAGTCAGACCGCAAGGAGGAGGCTGTGTTTTTACAGGATCTCACATTCCAGGGCTGACTAAGCAGAGCAGGCAAGTTCAGGGTCTAGACCAGTGGTTCTCAACCTTCTGGCCCTTTAACTACAGTTCCTCATGTTGTGACCCAGCCATAGAATTATTTTCGTTGCTACTTCATAACTGTCATGCTGCTACTGTTATGAATCGTCATGTAAATATCTGATATGCAGGATGGTCTTAGGCGACCCCTGTGAAAGGGTCGTTTGACCGTGAAAGGGTCGTTTGACCGCCAAAG